CGATCGCGCACCTGAAAATCGCATTTGAAGTCGAATTTCAACTAATTTCAACCTCCGGTTCGTTTATGCGGAGTGCGAAAACCTAGTCTTTAGTGTAAAATAAGGTTTCAAACACAAATTTCGGAAACCTACATTTCGTTAGTTCCGTATCGTTTATGCCGTGATTTGAACCTTGGTTTCAAACTCAGGTTTCGATTGAAGTTAGGTTAAGAGGCTCGCATAAACATAGCTAATAACATTACAACAATCCAGCAAACTCGGCAGCGGTCCACAGCAGCCGAAAACCTCGCTGAGCTGTTGAGCAGTTTGCTGAGCAGCCATCTTGGAAAACGGGTAAATCCACCAGAATTTACCAACGCTTTCGTTGAGCTCAACGCTCAGCGGGTAATTTTCGTTGTGGCAGTTGTGGACTTTAACAACGCACCTCACCATTCTTTATCCGCCTTGTTCATACGTCACTCGATCGCCAATTTTCTCAGCGCTGCCACATAGCGTCAGCTAGTTATTATTCTATGCTGCCACTTCGGTACCCCGTTTGTCCCTACCTGTAGTAGAGTGTACCTTGATCCATGTAGCTCACTTCAGTTAAGACTGAAAAAAGTAAACACTGGAATTAACGCCGCGATAAAATAAAATGTGTTCTGAGTTATACGTTTTTAGGTGACTCCCAGATTTTTTTCGACTGAAATACTTTGCTAGTAGGTAAAGGGTATCCACTACACTTCATTTCTGCAGGTAATTCAAAACCGTCAATAATCGAGTTATGTGTTTGCCAACTTACACCGTCGATATATTTATAGATTTTGGATCTGCAGAATGCGGAATCACAAAGTTTTAGTCCACTCATTTTTGTACTTTGCTCAGTTTTTACAGTGACGCAGCATGGCACCTCCAAAATTATCTTACTTCCCTATCAAAGCTCTTGCAGAACCGATTCGCTTTGTACTTTCCTACGCTGGTGAAGAATTCATTGACAATCGAATTATCAGAGATGATTGGCCCGCAATGAAACCAAGTAAGTGTGTATAGTATTCCTTAGTTGTTAAACTGTGCAAAAATCTCACTTACTTTCGGTTCGAAGAGTCAAAAATTTGAGTACATTTCTGTGCAGCAATAATGATAACTTCCTAGTTATATGTCAGTCTTTAAAGTGATATAGTCAAAGAAGCAATGTGCCAAACAAGACCAATCCACACAGGTCAGTCATTCCCGAGGACGAGTTTTAGAACTCTACTGCGTAGTGACGTAGTATTGAGTGCCTGCAATGTATTTCTTATGAGAGCACCCATTGTGACGTAGCATTGAGTGCTGCGAGTTAGGGCCGGGCGGGGGAGTGGATTTCAAAAAAGCTGCGCAATGACTGACCTGTGTGGATTGGTCCTGGTGCCAAATGGGGCAGTATTTTCTTTAATTCATTCTTGGAAATTATGTAAAAATTGAGAATACCCACTCTTTTCCATTTATCACTCCATCAAATTTTAGCTGAGAAAATGACTTCCAAAGTTTCCAAAAATTTGGGCCCTGTACAAACTGTGAAAATATCACGCCAACAGTTCTTGTGATGTATCTTACCAACATGACAGCCTGCAGTCATATAAAATTCATGAAAATGTAATTAATCATACAAATTGTATTGTTACATAGAAATTATTTCAAATTTCTAACAAAATCATCAAAATGCAGAGTCTAGAAAAAAAGAGTTCATGAGGAAAGTCAGGGAATACTTCAAGCAAGGCTCTTAGGTTATGGGATAAAATGTGAATATTTCATATGGGCTTCTACAGGGTGGGCATAAAGTAACTGAAAAGTGTTTATAACTTTTCAACATAAAAAGATATACGGTTCCGTTTGTTGTGTGTCCAAAACGCAACCATGAAAGCCTGCAGGAGATAGTACTTACGGCTGTCTTGTCTAACAATAACTTAGTATAAACATGAAAAATACCCATTTTTTGTAATTGAAAGATAATCGGTCAATTTTTAATCATCCTAGCGATTTCTGGGAGTATTTCGGACAATTAGTGGCAATTTGACAAAGCATGTAGAATTCTTTCAATATATTTTTCCGGTCAGAAGCTTCTGAGCCTGTTTTCTCAAAACTTCATTTTTGCTTGTACTGCTCTCTTCGCTATCACGGCAGCCTTGAGAATGTCATGTGTCATTTTATTGGTAAAAATACTGGCGAAGGTATTCTTTTCCCGTAACTTTGTCGATGTTTTTTACGCGGCCAAATTTTAACCCACAATTTTTTTTTTTATTAAATTTTATAGGCTCATTCTCAATGCTGAAAGTAGTCAATGTTACTTATTCCAGTTATTTCTTTTACAGAAACTCCTTTTGGGAAACTGCCAATCTTGGAAATTGATGGGAAAGTTGTGACCCAATCGACCGCCATTTGTCGATACTATGCTAAGAAATCAGGTATAGCTGGCGAAGATGACTGGGAAAATTTGCTAATTGACGCAACAGTTGGTACCATTGATGACCTAAGATCAGGTGCGTTTGGAACATCAAAATTTCAGAATAATTCAATTAGAGATAATAGTAATAATTCGGTCAGAGAGGGAGCATGTGAATTGAATGGTCTTTTCCAAATTTTTTTCCTCATCCACTCAAAATGAGAGAATTATGCAAAATTAAATCTTTCCCTCAATTGTTTTCAAAGCTGATGTATTGCCTGATAAAATTGAATTTTCTCTCTAGAAAACTAGCTTACTTGATGTAAATTACGACAAACTTTAGTTAAAATCAATCGAAAATTGCCAAGGACATGAAACAAAAATTAAAGCTAATATAGAACAAGGCCGTGCAGTCTAAATTTTCCTATACCTTAGTCTAATAATCTAACCTCTACCTAAAACCTCACCAAAACATTTTTGATCTTTGCAAAGTTAAAAATCAGCAGCCTGAAAGAGTAAATTATTATTAAGTACTAGGAAGAATGGAGTAGTGGCAAGGAATTTTTCCCGGGTTACAGTGAAGCATATCGTCTGTAAAGTTTCGTGAAAAAAACCATAAAGATTGTTAAGAAGTTCCAAGACGTGTTTCGAAGGAGAGAAAAAGCTGATCTAAATCGGACCTACCTACCTATCAAAAGCTGATTGTTCAGTTGACATAGGAAGGCGATGCCTCAAGCTGAGTTCAGCCAGTCAGTAAACATAGTTTCCCCTGCTTGGCTTTGTAATCAGAGCTTACCAAAAATATTGTTTTAAATGACCCCGCTTTGGCACTTTCAAAACAGGTTTTCTTTGCAATCTAGGGTAAAAAAATCTAAACAGTTTCCGTAGAAGCTTACTTCACTTAATGCTCTCAGATAATAAATTTTAAAAAATGAGTGCTATTGACCATTGGAAAAATAAGTTAAACTCTGGCTCTATCTTTTGTTAGTATTTATACCAGGTATCCATATAGTACCCTTCCAAGGAGGGCTCTGACTGTTTATCTAATCGAGCTAAAGATTTGAAACTGGGGGGGAGGGGGGGGGGATAATCCTGGGTTAAAGGAAACTACTTCTTGGCCCCCTAAAATTTTCAGGGGAGGAGGGGGAAGACTCCACCCCTTTTCTTAATAGAAAGACTTCCCTTGTGAAACCTCCTTTAAGTAAAAGAACATTGAGAAAGGACATTTTTCGAAAAACTCGAGGTCATCTCTAACCGCTCAAAAATTACGTCTGCAACCTGATTGTTGAAATTTTGTGTTTGTCGGGATGACATAGAAGACATAGGTTAAAAGGTGGAGCGTGATTGGTCGACTATGTCTGATCGCTGCTTTGTTGGGTTGAGGTCACGACAAACTAACGGTACCTCTTAAGTTTCCGACAGTATGTCGTCCATTCCACCTGACAAAGGTACGACAAAGCAGCGATAAGACATAGCCGACCAATCACGCTCCGCCTTTTAACCAATGTCATCTATGTCGTCCCGATAAACGAAAAATTTCAACAATCAGGCTGCAGGTTAAATTTCTAAATGGTGGAAATTGTCCACACAATTTGCCGATGTATTTACCCAAAACTTTGTATTTGGGATTATTTTGACTGGAGGAAAACGAATTTGGCGTAAGATATTTAGAAAACACCCGACTATTTCAAAATGGCGGTCGCTTAAAGCAACGATTTAGAAACAAATGATAGAGCGATCTTAATGCAACGCCAGTGGTAAAATTAATAAAGCACCAGGAGCAACAATTCGTCATCTTATGGCCAAAGTATCTCAAGTATCATGCGGCATTTCAACATTTCCGCCACCTTTTTATTTTTTTACAGAGAAATTGTTCGACTGAGCTGTCCAAAAAATTCACTCAATTTTCTTTGTGCTACCGATAAAATTCTGTGAATTTTTTGGAAAGCTTCGTTGAAAAATTTCTCTGTAAAAAGATGAAATTAAGTGACGGAAGTTTTGAAACGTCGCATGACGCTTGTGAAACTTGAAAGATACTGGCCGGAAGGTAACGAATTAAATTAGGACGAGGATAGTCGGTTTCTAAGGAATCAATTCAACATGGTGTATAAGACAGTCAACCGAGCAGCCAAAAACAAACCTAATTGGTACGTCAACGGTTTCATTTTTAGGACAAAGATGGCAGTGGATTTTGTCTGGGTATTTTGAATTCAGGATTATGGGCGAGACCCACACTTCAAATGGATTTGAATCACATACTTTATAAACATTGAAATATTTGTATCATCAAATTAATATTAACTCCTGATTGAAGATTGAGTTTATAGACGTTTCTCTCATAACGGGGAGTGAGTCTTTGGCTAGAATCTTCTGGACCTGTTTCCTCTTTTCAAAGATTTTTCGTCATTATCACTTATCTGAGCTACAAAATGAAATTTAATTTTACATGAGTGTCCACAGAGGGCTGTGCAGGTACGCTACCCACAAAAACTATAACCCTGCTAAAAATGAGTGTAATGCTAGCATTACACTCGTGAGTGTATAGCTAACTTAATGTGATTTGCACACAGAATTTCATTATATTAGCATTACACTAGTCATACACTCACGAGTATAATACATACATATAAGTTGCTTTTATACCGCTCTTTGGCACCTTACGACGCCTAATCGCCGCAAAGCTCGGTCTTCCCATAGGTCATCAGGGAGTTGACACTCCCTCATCTCACTCAACACCCCTTGTCGCCAACCTCTCACTGGGCGTCCCCTACGTCTCCTCCCAGGAGGAACCCAATCAAGCATCTTTTTTGGCAGCCTCTCTTCCATCATCCTATTGACATGACCATACCAAACAAGTTGTTTGGTCATGACGTCGAACACGATGTCATTTTGCTGATCACCGCCAAAAGTCATCTTCTCAGATTTGGATATGTTGACTTCCAAACCCCACTTCCGATATTCTTCTACTAACTTGCGCATCATGTACTCCGTGTCATCTTGATCTTGAGCAACCACAACCTGGTCATCAGCAAAGCACAGAGTGAATAGAGTTTCAAAATCACCCAAGGGGACACCCATACCAGAACACTTCCTTTTCCATTCCTTTAGCACACACTCGAGGTAAATTTTAAATAATGTTGGTGACAAACAACATCCCTGTTTTAAGCCCTTAGTCACATAAAATCCCGCTGACAACCCCCCATGTTACTTAATTTTGGTAAAACTCCCTTTATAAAATCGCGTGACAGCATCAATCAACCCTCCGTTAAAATTCGATTTTTCCAAGGCCTCCCAAAGTTTCACCAACGGCACACTGTCGTACGCTTTCTGGAGATCCACGAAAATTAAATGCAGCTCCTGAGCTTCGGCCATTTTCTTCTCAATGACCTGGACAATAACAAAGAGGTGATCTATCGTAGACCTGCCAGCTCTAAAACCAGCCTGCTCCTCTGCTTCGTGATCCTGCCATTCGTCCTCGATCTTCGCTTTCAGTATCTTCCTGTACACTTTGCTTATTGTCCCGGTCACTGAGAGCCCCCGGTAGTTGTTACAGTCGTCCTTCCTTCCCTTCTTTTTGTAGATGGCCTTGATCCAGGACTCCTTCCACTCCCTTGGTACCTCGTCACCCCTGACACGAACATCCCTGGGGCACTAAAAAATTTGAAGCAACACGCCGACCGCATCAATATGATTGATGTTTGGTATTTGAAATCCATTCTGTATAGCGAGAGAATGGACAGATCGCTTCATGGAGGTCTTAGGGCCCAAAAGTGCAGCCATCCTTCCAACCAACTTCTAACACACGAAATTTCACGGCCAGTCTGCAGAGTCGGCAAATTCCAATTCTGACCAAGAATGTATAGAAATAAGCGTTTTTCCGCAAACATGAGTAAATTTATGCAAAAACTGAGTCGAATACGTGCTTTATAAATGACGGTTCGTAACAATAGTACTAGTAAATCGTTCTGAAAAATTGATATTCATAGGTTGGCTGCATTTCTGGGCCCTAACTTTATTCGCAGAAGCATCGGTTAAGGCCTGATGGATTTGCGGAGTTTCATATCTGTCCATACTCTCGCTAAACAGGTACTCTAGTTTTGAGGAGGAAGGCGATGCTTTCGGAAAAACAAAAAGAGTGCACCGCGAAGTCACCCCTATTCATGTGGGTTGAAGACAATCAGACGGCGAGACGGGAGAAAGGAGAAAGCATGGTCGAAGTGCTCAAGGTCATTTGCTGAAGAGCCCCATGCCGACCAAGGCAGGGCTCAGACGGCAGCCGCTAAGGATTTGGAGGACAGGCTAGATTTTTCACATTTCACGCGGGGTTCGGGAATATGCGCCCGGGGTCCCTCAGGGCTCAATTCTTGGCCCTTTTTTGTTTAATGTCTGCTATGACTCGGTTATTGAAAAGATTCACACGATTATGTGCGAAAAACTTGGGTACGCTGATGATCTATCAGTAATAATTTAGGCGGAAACCCCGAATGAGCGACGGAGCAAAACCAAGACAGTAACCTAGGAAAATAATGAGGAAATGGCTCCAAAAAACCTTAGCTTGGAGCCAAGCAAAACCGAGGCATGCTTCCTGGAGGGCCGAAAAAAGAGGAAGAGAATATCTGTACGTGTAACCAGACTGCCTCATCAAACCCTCCCCAACAAACAGGTACCTTGGCATAGGTATGGCTGGATACAGAACTTACCTTTAGGAATTACGTGTACCTATAAGGCCTGTGAAAAGGCTAAGAGAGTTCAAGCTTTGCCAATTCCCCTACTGCCCAACATCAAAGGCCCTTCCTCCAAAAAAAGGAAGCTAATCTTAACCGCGGCATATTCACCCCTCTTCTATGGCGCGCCCATATGGGCTGAGGTAATCAAAATAAAGAAGTACTGTGACATAATTACCAAAACTTACAGACCTCTTAAGCGAAGCATCTGCGCCGCATACCTTACTGTCCCTAACAACATCCTAGATATCTTTAGTGGCATCCCACCAGCGGATCTCTATGCAGATTCCAGATGCAGGCAGCATGGGGGCGAACCCAAGCCGCAGATTAGGGAGGACATCTTCGAGAGCTGGGCGGAGAGGCTAGAGAGTGATATGGGCGCTGATGTGTGGTTCAAGACCCCGATTCCGCACCTTAGGAGTTTCCTGGCCAAAGATCCCATGGGGGCGTAGAAGAAAAAAAACGCCGTTTTTTTTAACTTGCCGACTGCCCTTTGAGGATTTGAAAACGCAATGTAGAACTAATTTTGAACTTACCGAGATATGTTGAGGCAAAGTCAGGAAAAATTGGCTCATTTCGCGGGCAAATCGTATGACCATTGAACTGACGTAATTGGGAGTCCGCCCCCCCCCCCCTTGAAATTGGTTTGTTTACTTAAACGCGCTTACAATTTGCTGTTTTATTTTTTTCTCTACAGTAATTTGAACCGGAGTTATGGTCAAAAAATGGAAAATAGGTCAAACTTGATCATTGACCTATCATAACTCGGTCAAAAATTAAGATATGGACCTCCGGTTTGTTCCAAAATTCTTAGTTTTTAATGTGCTTTCCAAGGATGTATCAGAAGGTAGGGGTTACCTTTGAAAAACAAAGTTGAGGGCCCCCCCCCTGAGGNNNNCCCCCCCCCCCCTCCCAGAAGATGTTTCCCTTTGAGATAGAAACATTCCCAAAGTTCCGTTTTTCTATCTCTAATCGTTAAAAAGTTACCAGGGGGTTACGAACTTTTGGGACACCCTGTATGACTCAATTTTTCAGTGGACATGGCTGTTTTTTTTTTTATTACCTTTGTAGATTTAAGATTCTACGATCCACAAATGTAATCGAATCTACAAATTTACAAATCTACGAATCTACAAATGTAAACTGCAACAATTTTTTCGAAAAAATAAAAAATAGCACTCTAGCTGCCTAATCCTCGGACGAAATTTCGAAGGTTGGATTCAGCAAGGCACGAGACAACGGGGCAGCGATCTCGGGCGTGCTGAGTCGCCGTCTCGAGGGTCCATTTACAAGATTATGTTGTTTTCTGCGTCTGATTTTCCAAACATCGTATCCCGCCTCCCAGTATCGTAACTACCCACGGATTCTTACATTGGGTCTTACGAGAGCCCACAGTCCTGTAGAACTTGTCCCGGTCGTACTCGAATTAGGTTCGAGGTGAAGGGTCGTCACTGGTGGCAATACAAATTGGGCCCGGGGATCACCTAGTCCAAGAGCCAGCAGTGAATTATCTAACCGGAGAGTATAAGAATTTTTACATATATTCTTAGATCGGGGTACTCGATTGTAGGAAGGATCGGTCAGTCTGGCTGGTCTTAGCCTATGGGTTGCAGAAGTTAAAAAAACGAAATTTAGGTGATTACATTTGACCGTCTAAATTTGGTTTTTTTAACCTCCGCTTATATTTGGGGACTTGAAAACGCGATGTTGAACTAATTTTGAACTTACCAAGATACTTTGAGGCAAAGTTAGGGAAAATCGGCTCATTTCGCGGGAAAATCGTATGACCTTTGAACTGACATATTTGGGGGTCCGACCCCCCCCCCTTTAAATTAGTTTGAGGTGATTTCTGTGATTTTTACCTAAAAGTGCTTACAATTTGCTGAATTGTCCCGTTTTATTTTTTTCTCTGCGATAATTTGGGACGGAGTTATGATTTTTTGAAAATAGGTAAAATTTGACCTTTGACCTATCATAACTCTGTCAAGAATTAAGATATTGATCTGCGGTTTGCACCAAAATCCTTAGTTTTTAATGTACTTTCCAATGATGTATCACAAGATAGGGGTTATTGTTTGAAAAACAAAGTTGAGGCCCCCCCACCCCTTAGGTTGGGACAAAAATATTGACCCCCCCCCCCCCCCAGAAGATGGTCCCCTATGAGATAGAAGCATTCCCAAAGTTTTGTTTTTCTATCTCTAACCGTTCAAAAGTTACAAGGGGGGGGGGGGGTTACGGACTTTTGGGACACCCTGTATACTTGGAACATGTACCTACTGCGTGAATGGAAGAAAAATGTTCTGGAATGGGTGACTATGGTTGGCCGTTTGTGCCTAAAAGAAAAAAAATCCCTGTGAAAGAATTATTTCCCGTGTGGGATTTTTTTTCCCTTCACGAGCGGGCTTTTTTCCTATGTGTGGGAATTTTTTTCCCTGTGTGTGATTTTTTTTTCTTGTGTGTGATTTTTTTACCTGATCGTGATGTTTCTTCTCGTGGGTGATTTTTTTTCTTGTGTAGGATTTTTTCCCCTCATGTGTGAGATTTTCTCCTCGTGGGGATATTGTCTCTGCAGAACTTGTTATCGTCTTGTTATCAATCAGAGGCTGTTGCCAAACTGTAACTTTCGGCTCTGACTTTATTTAGCATCGAGCTTCGAGCGATCGATTCTTTGGAAGTCGAAGTAGTTCGGTATCCTAACCTCAATTTCTCCGTGCCGTTCTCTCTGCGTTCACTTCTCTCTCTCTCTCATCTCTCTCTTCCTCAAGCTCTTCCGGTTAGACACGACTGCCGGGTTCTCTCCATGCCGGGTTGTGTTCTATGAAATTAACAATTATACGCGGCAACACTGTAGACGAGGTATTCGTCAACTCCAGTGTCGATCAGATCGAGCCCGGTCGATTAATCGATTATTTGAGATATATCGATCACAGTTCACGGCTCTTTTTTTATTTGCAAAATTTGGCAAACGCATGAAATCTGACTAAGGCAGAAAAAAGTAAGGACACAAAAAATTCTCTCACGCAAGAAAAACAATCAAACACAAGAAAAAAAATCACACACAAGGAAAAAAATTCCTACACGTGGGAAAAAAGCCCGCTCGTGAAGGGAAAAAAAGTCCCACAAGGGAAATAATTCTTTCACAGGGATTCGTTTCCTTTTAGGCACAAACGGCCAACCATAGGTGTCCCTCTGAATAATGAAGAATCACTGTATTTCACAGGGTTTCATAATTGCGGTGGGTTTCTTTTGTCGCAAGACACTGATGAATAGGATCGATCTCTTTTGTAAATGTTTAATTACACTTAGGGGATTATTTATAAAATTGTTCTACATTCCTACGACTTAAACCATCTTGTGTCGTTAAATTACAACGAAATTGTCCACTCAAATGCTGAAACACTTGTCTCGGACATCGGACGTTTTCGCATACGTCGATTCAATTAGGCAAACAATTAGAGAAGGTGGAGGAGACTTTATGGATACCCTGCATACCCTGAAACTAATCTAAGGTCATTAACCACATTAGTTTTGAAATGAGGAGGAAAAGAAACTAACAATTTGGGTAATATCCATATATATTTTCTTCGTGTGTCACCAAAAGTCATCAATTTTGTCATTTCTTATATTTTCTAGCCATCGGTGCCTATCATTATGATGCAAATGAAGAGACAAAAGTAAAGAAGTACGATCCTCTTGTGAAAGAGACCATTCCCTTCTACATGGAAAGACTGGAGAAGCAGGTGGAAGAAAACGGCGGTTATTTTGTGAATGGAAAGGTATGTGTCATTTAAAATTAAGTAGAAGATAGTTATGAATTATTCATTTATCTTTATTCTTCCTGTTTGGCCGTTGGATTATTTTCTTTTGGTTGATCGGTAAGAGATGGGGTGACTGTTTGCTTCTGTCACTTGTTTCCTTATTCTTTGTTTTATTTTGTACATAGCTTAAAAGGGGAAAATATAGATCTGCCGTCTCTGATAGAGCTAATTTCTTTCACAGAATCATTGGATCAACTCATAAACACAAGTTTTGCTTTTACTTGGAAACACAGAAGGTACAGCGAAACAAATTCCTAAAAATTGCTTCTCCCATTATTTATTTTTGAATTTAATTAATAATTATACTATCAATTGCATTGATTTCGACAGAGGGAAAGGGGGGGGGGATGAAAGTTCCTGATGTCTTTCAAAGCATGAGTAGACTCAATTTTGGGGCATTACGCCAGGAGTCTGCCTCTAAAGTGTTGGAGCACCCAACCCTGATACCCAGAAAAAGAGCTGTGCTGAAAGAGGATGAGAGGCTACCTGTTGAATCAGCAGAACCTAACCTAACTTAACTGTTAAAATCTCTATACTCATATCTTCAAAATCACTGATGTCCCAAAACTTTACATATTAAAATAGGATTTTTTATTTCATCTATTATATAAGTAGAACTTTTGAGAATTCTTTACTTCCTTCCTTTTATGCATCCTTGAAAAAAAGCACTTCGGTCAATGAACTGATTCATAGTCTCTGAAAAAAATAAATAAAAATCTGTCCCATCAGAAGCGGCAAAGTGTGTTCCCTGTGTTAGTTCATTTCTTAATTTCCCAAAAATGTCTTAAAGATGCGTAGAAGTATGCTCAAGTCACAAATCTTGGCTTGGCCTTGGCAAACCTTTTATGGCTCAGAGGATGGATAATCATATCCCCTGATATTTTTGGAAGCTAGTGAGGACAGTGCTTAAAACTTTCTCTTGGTGAGAAAATGGTAAGTCATGAATATGATTTTTTCAACAAAAATTCTTCGTAATTCTACTAAAATTTCCCTGAGAAAATCAAGTATTTGGTTCAATTTTGAGAAAATCACGTATTTGATTCAATCTTGAGAAAATCATGTATTTGATTCTATTTAAGGCATTGTCTTAAATGGTCAATGTCAGTAGCTGTGAAAAGAGTCAGTGTTGTTACTCCAAAAAATTTCTCTCTAGAGCTCTGATTTCCAAATTTATATTATTAAAGGACAGTGCTGGGTATACCGAGCAAAGACTTTTTGATGTAATGTTCATCACGATCTGCTGAGTAGGATGAGCTTATAGAAACGAACTTTCTATGGGCCAATCTCAAGACAATTGAGTCTATGAAGTGCATTCTTCAGCAATATAGCACGTGTTATCGTATGGAAAAGTGGCCAAGTCGCTAGTGGAAGATGTGGAGCCTTTAGTTTTGAACTGAGTTGATGCACTGTCTTACTTTCTCGGCCGGCACGACGGAGGATGGAAGTGCTCATTCCTTAAACACCTTCTTTTGACTACTCGATAATGCGTGTGAAACTGCCTAAAAATGCACTTTTCAAACCCTAATCTCTGAAGATAGGCATATACAGGGTGTTTCAGACCACCCGTACCAGGCCTTTTTCTCGGTTGTTTTAGGTCGTAAGAAGTCGGGGACCGCGGAGTTGAATAGGGAATTGACCCCAAGGAATCCGAATTTCGTGGTCCCGAAACCCCCCCATCTCCCCTTGGGGGGTAAAGGGGGGGGTCACGATGCTAAAAGTCACGGTTCCCGACCGAATTGCGGATTAATCGCATCAGAATTGAAAAGCACGGAAAATTTCTCGTGAAATTGACCCCTAAAAATCCATAATCGGCCCATCCAAGGCCCAAAAATGATCCTCTAAAGAGGAGGACAGTACCCCCCTCCATAATTTCACTTTGGTCTCAAAATTGACGTAGATTCTCCAGAAAAAGACGGTTTCCCAGGTAATCGACCTCGAGAAATCCAAACTTCATGGTCCCGAAACTCCTCTAGCGCCCCTTGGGGGGGTAAACGGGGGGCCCAATTTTAAAAATCGGGGCTCCTTTCCGAATCACAAATTGATTGCATCCAAATTGAGGAGCAGAATACATTTACATCTTGAGTGACTCCCAAGAGTTCTAATTGACCCCCCTGAACGACAGAAAGTAACTCCCTGAGGAGGGGAGCTCGCCCCCTCCAAAAATTTCTCAAGATTCCTCTTTGGTCGCAAAATTGACGTCGATTCTTCAGAAAAAGACGGTTTTCCAGGTAATCGACCCTGAGGATTCTGAATTTCATGGACCTTAAGCTCCGCTACCCGCCCTTTATGGGCAGAAACCGTCTTTTTCTGGAGAAAAGACGTCAATTTTGCGACCAAAGAGGAATTTTGAGAAATTTTTGGAGGGGGCGAAGCCTTCCTCCTCAGGGGTTACTTTCTGCCGTTCAGGGGGGTCCATCAAAACTCTGGGGGGTCCCTTAAGATGTAAAAGTGTTCTGCTCCTCAATTTGGATGCAATCAATCTGCGATTTGGAAAGGAGCCCCGATTTTTAAAATTGGGCCCCCCGTTTACCCCCCAAGGGGCGCTAGAGGAGCTTCGGGACCATGAAGTTTGGATTTCTCGAGGTCGATTACCTGGGAAACCGTCTTTTTCTGGAGAATCTACGTCAATTTTGAGACCAAAGAGAAATTATGGAGGGTGGTACTGTCCTCCTCTTTAGAGGATCATTTTTGGGCCTTGGATTTTTAGGGGTCAATTTCACGTGAAATTTTCCGTGCTTTTCAATTCTGATGCGATTAATCCGCAATTTGGTCGGGAACCGTGACTTTTAGCATCGTGACCCCCTTTTTACCTCCGAGGGGGGATGGGGGGGTTTCGGGACCACGAAATTCGGATTCCTTGGGGTCAATTCCCTATTCAACTCCGCGGTCCTCGACTTCGTACGACCTAAAACAACCGAGAAAAAGGCCTGGTACGGGTGGTCTGAAACACCCTGTAGACAGTGCAGTTTTAATAACTTATCTTACTCAGGAGATAGTTAGGATCACCATACGAAAAAAAAAAAAAGTGGCCGCTGCTCAATTTCTTGGTGTTCTGTGCATACTTAGTCCTTTTAGAACTACCTCTTTTCATAATGACCTTCACCTCAGTTCTCCAAAAAATGCATTTAACATGAGACCGTTTTTGTTGTGTTTGTTAGAATGTCATCAATGGATCCAAAAAGCACCTGCCTTGCGCTCAATTCCACAACTATACTTTCAGTTTAATGCCTCTCTAACGTTTAATTCCCATTTCTTTTTCCGTTTTTCAGTTAACATGGGCAGATTTATGGTTTGTTGGGTTGCTGGACTATCTGAATTCCATGGCAAAGTTTGACATAACCGAAAAGTACCCTAGCATTAAGGCCCTTAAAGATAAAGTGCTAGCCGTGCCAGCAATCAAAGGATGGGTTGCCAAGAGACCAGCAACCGAATTTTAAACGATGTTTGCCATTTACTGCAGAACTATTGAGCCTTTCTCTTCAAAGCACCATTGTTTGATGTATTTGCACTTGCCTATATACATTTAAATGCAATCCCATAACAATCATGGTTACTTTTCTATCAATTCTAATTATACTATCCTTCCCTGTTTCTCCGTACTTACTGTTTCTGAAGATATATTTTTCATGTAATTTTAATTTTCAGTTTACGTATCAGATGTCAACATTTTTTGAACATTCCTAGTTTTATAAATAAATGCTGAAAGTAACGATTTGTTATAATTTTTAATATTTATACAGGGTTATCCAAAAGTCACCTACCACCCCTGTAACTTTTTTCCTAATTGAGATAGAAGTTTGAAACTTTGGGAATGTTCCTCGGTTTAAGGTAGCAACTTTTTGGTCCCCCCAAAATTTTGGGGGGCGGGGGCTTACTTTTTTTTTCAAATGGCAACCCCCCTTTTGTGATACCTCATTCAAAAGATAATAAAAAAAGACAATTTTTGGCGCAAACTGCAGGTCAAAATGTTGATTTTTGACCAAATGGCGGCTGGTCAAAGTTCAAAATGGCGGAAAGGCATCTCCGTTTTTTATCAGCGGAATGGTCTGAAACTAAGAATCCCAGGGTTTCCGGGACGAGAAAAACGATTCTGGCATTAGTTTTCCAGAATTATCAGTCCTTTTCAAAATAGCGGTGCTTAAAATGACGACTTAAAGCGGGAAGTGGATATTTACGCTGCCTATCGTCGGATTTGCATGAGACTTGGTATCCGGGGGTATTTCGGTACGAGAAGAACGAATCTTCATTGGATTTTTGAAATTGTTAAAAACTTTAAAATGGTGGCGAAAAAATGACGGAAAATTCATATCACGACTGTTTACCGATAGATTTGCACAAAAGTCAATACTCTGGTGGTTTTTGGCTCGAAAAAATTAATCTTTCATTACATTTTTGAAACACTGATCATATCGTCAAAATGGTGGCGGAAAAATAACGGAAAATCCGCTTCCACCATCGCCATTCGCATTTTTTCCGCCGTTTTAATTTTTTCGTCATTTTAAGCACGCTATTTTGAAAAGGACTGATAATTCTAGAAAACTAATGCCAGAATCGTTTTTCTCGTCCCGAAAAACCCTGGGGTTCTGAGTTTCAGACCAATCCGCCGATACAAAACGAAGATGCCAAATTTCCGCCATTTTGAACTTTAACCGGCCGCCATTTTGTCAAAAATCAACATTTTGACCTGCGGTTTGCGCCAAAAATGGTCTTTTTTTATTATCTTTCGAATGAGGTATCACAAAAGGGGGGTTGCCATTTGAAAAAAAAAGTTAGCCCCCGCCCCCAAAATTTTGGGGGGACCAAAAAGTTGCTACCTTAAACCGAGGAACATTCCCAAAGTTTCAAACTTCTATCTCCATTAGGAGAAAAGTTACAGGCGGGGTGGTGGGTGACTTTTGGATAACCCTGCATATGCTGCCCCGATGACTACTACATACGCTTTTTCGCACTTCTGAATGCATACCTATTAATTCTGAATGAAATATTTTAATGAAGCTTTCGTCAGTAAGCTAATAAGGTAAGACTTTAATGGTGGGTTATTCGATGAAACTTATTTTTTGTGAGGGAATAATGTCTGCTCTACCTAATGATGCAATTATTTGGATCTGCAGGGTATCTCAGTATCTTGGTAACCGTTCATCCAAATTTGAATAGTTGTAGCTCGCCAGAAAGCTGAAAACATTTCCCATGAAAACATTTCTCTAGAGTTGTTTCAGCTGTAGATAATTCTTATAGAGAAATTAAATGGGGAAAGTTACTATTTAAATAGCCCTTGTATTGCGACTTGATCATTGCATAAGAAGTCCTCAGCTGTCCTCCTACTGATCATATCAGTACCACAGACGGCTTCGCGAGCTAATTGTCCGATAAGTTAGACATTTGATCACTTTGATGTATACATTTCGGAGACTCTCAAGACAAAAATAATTTTGTCACAAAACTTTGTCACCAGAGTGTGCCATCACTTGCAAAATAATAAATATGTGGGGAGGAGGCAATGATGGGGATCGATCATTTCTTGAAAAACGCATTTGACTGGGACGTCAGTCCTTTCAGGTGGAGGAAAGAGACAACCGTGGATCTTCTCTCGCGATTTGACTTGCTGAAGTAGCAAAAGTTATCTTTACTTCCTCGGTGGCGTCGGTGTCTAAAAACTACTCAACGATAATATAGTTCGAGTTCCAAATCGCCATGAGCCCACTTGTGTTTTTTTTCATAGTTTCATTTATACAAATTTCTCTGATGTTTTCGTTTACATTCTCTCTGATTGCATAAGAAATTCTTCCTCATTTCATTTCCTTTCTTTTCCTTTTTTGTAGCATCTCTGTCCATTTGCAATTATTATTTTAAAATAGCTTTCTCTAGTATACATTTGATGCTTCAAACGGAACCAATTTGTTTCATTAATTACATTTCCGGCTAAATCATGGGTTTTCCTAGGAAGGCAGACTCTCGTCCCTCTCGGGCTCTACTGTTGCCAGATAAGTTTCTTTCTCAGTACTTTTCCCAATTCAAACCCATGTAAAATATTCACATTTATCGCTCTATCTGCCAACGCCTCGAGTGAAGTAGAAAAAGGTGGAATTGACTGAAAGTCTGAATCCTTCGAAGCTTATATTAATGGTAACTAGCCGTTCTGGACGCGCTTTGCGCGTCCGTCACGGCCAGCCAAGGGGCTGCGCCCCCTGGACCCCCGATCACTCGCTACGCGAGTGACATTCGGCTCGCTCCGCGAGCCATTTTTCTCAGTGATTGGACATTTGATCACTAAGATGGATACATTTTGAAAACTCCGGAGACAAAAATGATTTCGTCATAGAACCTTGTTGGCGGAGCGTGCCATCATTTGCACATGAATAGATGTGTGGAGATGAAGCGATGATGGGGATCGATCATTTCTTCAAAAACGCATTTGACTGGGACGTCATCCCATCGGGTGGCGGAAAAAGACAATCCATGGATCTCCTTCCGCGATTTGACTTGCTGAAGTAGCAAAAGTTCATCTTTACCTCTTAAGAAGATTATCGGTGGCGTTGGGGTCTAAAAACTGCTCAACGATAGTACAGTTCGAGTTCCGAATCGCAATGAGCCCACTCGTGTTGTTTTCTTATACTTTCATCGCATATAAATCTCTCTGATGTTTTTGTTTTATTCTCTCTGATTGCATATTAGTAATCATATCCTCATTTCATTTCCTTTCCTTTTTCCCTTTCTTTAGCATCTGTGTCCATTTACAATTATTATTTTAAAATAGCTTTCCCCTAGTATACAATTAATGCTTCAAACGGAATCAATTGTTTTAATGACATTTCCGGCTAAATCATGAGCTTTCCCGGGAAGGCAGCCTCTCGTCCCTCCCGGACTCTATTGTTGCCAGATAAGTTGCTTCTTTAGCACTTTTCCCAATTCAAATCCATGTAAAATATCCACATTTATCGCACAATCTGGCAACCTCTCGAGTGAAATAGAAAAAGGTAGAATCGCTGAAAGTCTGAATCCTTCGAAGTTTATATTAATGATGATTCGACACCCCCCTCCCCCCCAAAAAAAAATTAAAAAAAACGAAGAAGGAATAAAATGGAGTAGATCCAAAATTAATTTGTATAATATAGGTACAGATGTCGAAATAATCGGGTACATAATAATGTTAAAGAGGGGGGNGGGGGGGGGGGGGGTGTAATTTACTCATATTAAGAAAAATTCAAGTAATGAAAGGTTTTTCAGAAAACATTAACCACAGATGAAGTATAAAACGAGGTGTACCTAGTGTTAAAAATACTAACAACAGACAAAATTCGAAACTATAATGACAGTAAACAAACATGAAACAAGAACTTTTTCACAAATATTTAAAACAGAGATGGAACTACTAGTTCTTAGAAAAATGGAATGAATATGTATAATTAACAGGTCAAAATGGTTTTAACTATCTGGTAACTTCGTATCACTGGTGAGAAAAGACATTGCAAAAATGCAAGAATGCACTTAGATTTATTTACTTACAGACTGAATGGGCCTGTTGCATGCGAGAGATACAGCCGTGCGAATAGACTTTTTAGAGGTTAAATGACACGAAAATTACGATGGTCACATTAAAAAAGTCTGAAATACACTCCTTACTGCGCAATTTGTGTTGTTAGGAACGCGCTTTTTCAAATTTCCCGCGTCTGGGGGCAGTTTTCTAACGGAAACAATTAACGGCAACTCGCGGCTATTTCCGGTCAACTATAACTGACAACATAACCTAAAAATCGGAGCTCGTGATATCGTGAAATGAAATGTAGAAGGATTGCGTTGGATATTTAAAAGTTGATCGATTTGGTGACCGCATAAAGCGTATATGGACCACTATGGATCACGTTGGGTTTGTGAACAAACTGAAGGAAAAAATAACAACAACGACTCGGCATCTTCCGGAAATCACCGAGCCCGCCGTTTGCTCGTTTCCGGTGATTAGAAAACTGCCCCCAGACGCGGGAAATTTGAAAAAGCGCGTTCCTAACAACGCAAATTGCGCAGTAAGGAGTGTATTTCAGACTTTTTTTAATGTGACCATCGTAATTTTCGTGTCATTTAACCTTTAAAAAGACTATTCGCGCGGCTGTATTTCTCGCATACAACAGGCCCATTAATAGTCTTAAAAAATAGTACTGAAGAAACCAGTCTAGAGGTGGACGAAATTAAAATTATTCTGTTGATAACGAGACGGAACTTTGTGCTTTTCTACCCCTATAGCTGAAAATCAAAAGAATGGATAAACACGCGGGGAGTAAGGAATTTCCTGCCGTCGACTTTCATAGGTACCTGGTTGACTTCAAATAAGGGTCCAATTCCAGGTTCTATTTCCTCCCAAATTTTTTTTGTGAATTTTTGGGCAAACCTAACTTTATTTTGACTATCACTAGATGTAGAATTAGGAAATATAGCTCGCCGAACTTAATAGTTGGGCTTAAACCCGAATTTCCACCGTCAAGTGTACCTATCACTTCCCAAGACTTTCTCTAGTTTTGCCTAATTTCCCAAATTATCTCAGAGGTGATATATAATATTTTTAATTGAAAATTGAACACAATTTTCATAAAATCATCGTCGAGCATTGAATTAAAGCAGAATTGAAAACATGTTACCCTCTCATATCTTGCAGAACTAAAAAAATTGAGAAAAAATTCATCCGTCATGAAAGATATCTGAAGCTTATTCTGCTTGTCTTTTAGACAGTTCGGTCTGTTTATCGAAATGCGCACTGTCTTCCTTTAACACGAGAAGAAGCTTTTATTTCTTGGAATATTGCAATACAAAATGGATCAAAAACACCGAATTTTAAAACTTCGAATGGGCATGTACCCGCTGAAGTGGAAATAAAGCCAGGAAAAGTTTGAGGAATTGCATTAATTACACCGGTCAACTTTTTTTTGGATTTTCCGAAGATTTGCCATCGGTTTCGGAATAGATTTTTGGCGCTGATTCTGAAGATCACCTCCATTTACCTGTATCAGTGCAATTCATCCCGGGAAAGTTCGGAATTTTTCCGGAGAAATCGGAGTCTTCCTTAAAAATATAGCTTTTCCAGAAAAGTCAATTTTCCGGGAGAATCTATGCACGATGGAAAAAACCTAGGAATTTTTCGATCTCGTAGCCTAAAATACATAAGAAACCATGTATTGTCCCCCTATTAAAGTTTCCTTTCCTTTTCTTAATACCAAGGTTTTCCGGTCCAGTTTCATTAAAATCAATTAACTAGTCACCGAGACAGTGTTTTAAGCCACGGCCGCCATCTTAGATTTTCGAATCTTGGAAATTTGACTAATATTTTCAGTTTCCCGTCAAAAAGTATCTACCTATGAGTAGGTGCCATGTTTCACTTTAATCGATTGATTAGGTGCTGAGATAGCATTTTAGGCCACGTCCATCTTAAATTTTCGAATTTTGAAAAGACTGAAAATTCGAATTCTCTATTGAAAAATACCCTCGTGTACCAATTTGCACGTAAATGGATTGATTAGGTGCTGAGATAGCATTTTAGGCCATGTCCGCTATCTCGGATTTTCAAATTTTGAAAATTCGACTAAAAATTCGAGTTCCTCATTGAAAAATACCCTTGAAAACAAGTTTTCTTTAAATCGGTAGAAAAGAGCGCCTACCGGGCTTAAACAATCAATTGTCTCAGTTGTAACGGTTTTCCACTCTGTCCACTGTCCCACTAAATAACGAGTCGTTCAAACTGACGGAACAGAGGCCAACGTTTGACCAAAAGAATGACCCGAAAAAGCATCAAATGATGCTCTTCGGGTCGGCACACCGGTGACACTACAAAGATGGCGGAACCTATTTTGCGCGGCAAATTCAAATTAAGCGCGGTATTTCTAATTATTTTCAAATGCGTGACTCCGGTTTCTCTGACGAGGAAACGCTTTGCGTGGTAGTTTTGTTCCTAATTTCGCCTCAAGTGTAAGACAGCCCTTCAATTTTGGTTCTACGTTCAACCCTCTTGATATTTTTTCCTTTTAAACTGACTTTTCTTTCACTTCTTTTTAAACCAATTACTTGTGTTGCTGATGAATAACCCCTGTTTGCATTAATTATGAAAAGCGAGGCACATAGCTATGACGCTTCATCCTTTTGCTGGCAATAATTAATTATTTACCCACGTATTAAAATATCATCAAATTATTATGTCATGCGCGCCCTGTAGCTATAAAAACTTATTTTAGGTAGAATTTGTCAAAATGTTCTTTTGGTCACTAAGAACTCTTAAATTTGCTCCGAATAGAATTATTCATCTTCTTAGGTACATTGCTTTCATTGATTATCATGAGCTGTAATTGAAAATGGAGTTAGATCAACGAGTTAGATAAATGGAATAACTGGTGCCGATTTTTTCACTGTATACAGGTGAGTATTTTTAATGCATCAGTGATAGTTAAAATAAGGTTTTTGTGACTGAAAATAGTAAAATAACGATTTAAAATCGATGAACGATTGTAAGTTACCATTTACGAGAAGCGTAAGGTACTTCTCGCAGAACTTTGTATGGCCTAAAAACATGTATTACAAGAAAAGTATAGTACTTCTTGTTTTTATTAATCGCCTATACTTTTTTCTCAGTTTAGTTCATCATTTCCTGAATAAAAAAATTGGTTACGAACATCTTATCTGTGGCAGAAATTACTGCCGATAGGCGGGGAGGGGGTATCTTGCTCATAGAAAAAGAACAACAAAAAATAAAAATCAACGGTTAACTTGCTCACATGCGGATCTCGTTTGCAGTACCTAAGTTAAAATCTCTGCTCAAATATTATTTTCTTAAAAGGGAGTGGACGAACATTGCTTGAAATTTTCCCAGAATATTCTTTACTCTCACAAGAAGAATCAGGGCACTTTTCATCGCTTGAGATTGAGAATCCTACCATTTAGGACATACATAATGGCAGGAAGTATGCAGCATCGCAAACCTAGATGCACAATTTTTCATTGGCACTGTCTTCAAGTGGGAACTTGTGAATTGAGCTGCTACTTTGTATTAGCAGCTATCTGTTCATTCAACAAGTTAAGGGCACGAACGCATCGAAATTATCACAAAGTAAATATTTTTTTTCATCAACGGATTCATTAGCCAGCACGCTACCACGCTACGAGAACAGAGGAACAGGAATGATTTTCAAAATGGCGGCCGATTTGTTTACATTGTGCGCACCGGTCAACGTGAATGAGCACCGAATTAGTGCGGTTTCGGGGTCAATCGCCGAATTCCAACGATGGATTCCTCCGTTCCGCCAGTCGGTAAAACCCCTAAAGAGTTGGGACACTGGGACAGGGCGGAAACTTATGGGACCGTATGGTACGGGACAGGATGGAAATAAGCTGTTTTTTAAGCTTATCTCTAACAGTAAAGACAATTTTGGAGTTTTTTTCACGGAATATTTAGTAGCACATCCCAGAGTATCGGAATAAGAAAAAAATTTCCGCAACGCATACTTCGAAAGTATTTTACGAGCTGATATTAGTGTGTGTGTATCCTTGACTTCCTGTTAGATATCGTGTATAGCATTTTGTTTGGCATCATTAATGGCGTTAATCATGCACAAAAATTTGCGAATTTCAGAATTTTTGCCATCTGCGACGTGTGAACTATTCAATCGAAACAAAAAAAAGTAGTTTTTGGTAAAAACTCAACGTTACGGCAATCATTTAGAGCTTGTTACATTGTTGCCATGTCTCTCCTGACTGTTGCTGGGGACAATGATTCTAGCGCGTGAAAAAGTTATTGATGGAGCAAAAAAGAAATTGACCTATTTTTTTTCTCAAATTCAAAAGCATTACATTCATCTCCGATGAAGTTTTCTCAAATAATCACTCTAGTTATGCTGCAACATCGATTTAAATTCAAGAATCAGGCACGGGGGACACGCAAATTTGGGACAAATGTAGGCAACTTGCACATTCAAAGTTCTCCTAAATATTTATTTCAGTCCAAATACCCAAGTAGCATTTTTCAACGGAAAAATCACGATACCTCGAAATTAAATTGACAAAAGTTGTAATGTTGCTAAGCGCCGATCCACCTAAGAGGCTTCAATTCGCGGCCATAGCCAAGTGGCAATGAGCTGGCCTGCCACCGCTGCGATTTGGATTCGAATCCCTGCGGAGGCGCCGAGGACTTTACACTCGTCTCCGTTAAAGGACCTGACGGCTAAACCTGACGGAAGTCGGCTGACAGCGCCAACCCAATTTTTTAAAATCGCCAAAAAATTGGGTCAAATAAAGGTATATACTTACTTTACGAATGCCCCTCGTATGATCTGTTGTGCTATTTAAAGTGTCTAAATTATCTTTTTTCCTCGGCAAATACTGTCGGAAATCATGCCGAAAGGTGTTCAGAACCGTATTTTGATCATAAACTCAAACACAGCGTTAATTGAGATTAAAAAAGTTATAAGAACAAGTCTATGTTATGGTGTTGTTGCGATTTCTGGTCACCGGCGCCACCAGCGCCTAGGGAGCCCAACTCGAGCTTTGATTGGCTACAACGCACGAATACTGCCGAAGCAGTCCGGGTGCACCCGAATCCGACGGAACGCACGGCTCCCGGCAGCGGCAGAAGATATGCAAAAAGCTCTATTTCAACTCCCTTTTTCACCAAGAAATCATGATGGAGAGCTTGCAAAATTGTTTTGAAATTATTACTCAAATCCTAAAATTTTCATCGACGCAAAGAAATCGAGTCTCGGGAAAAAAAAAAAGATTTTTCGCGAATTTTTGAAAAGACCGTATTTACACGTATTTTACATAGGGCGAACCTTGGTGTATACCATGTGACGTCACGAAGTCCCAGTTTCGAAGCGCGGGAAAAGACCCGTTTCAAATGGCCTTTGACTTTGAGGAGCTTTGTCTCTAAGTTCCGGTGACCGGAATTTTTTTTAAAAAAATACCTCAATACTCAGTAGACCTCAAACTTTTAGAAATTGAATTAACAAAATTTCATGCAACAAACCCATTGTTCACATGTCTCCGTTTTCCTCACTGGCATGAGATAGGCCGAGGTGGCCGAGGGAGCTCCCGGCAGGTATCTCCACGCCGCGCTGCGCCTCGTCGCACAGTCAGTCAAATACAGCATACAGCACAGTCAAATACATTGGATTTGACGCGGCCTATGCGGGAAACTAAATTCGTCTATATTATGATGGAAGGACCACAATATTCGACCCTTCACATTCTTTAGTCGTCAGGTGGCGCACTCTACCAAGATTTGTCGGTAAGTGGAGACCGGTAATCGTTGTCGTTCGTCGTGCGCGGAGTTGTGCGCAAAGCAGCGCAGCGGGCAGCTCAGCGCAGTGTTATCTTAGTTCAGTTCAGTGTGTGTCTTAGTTGATCGGTAGTAATTAGTGCGGTTACTGTTCGATTTCCTCGGAAGTCCCATGTGTTTCGGGTGAATTTAAATTATACTATTGTTATCATGTCGTCTAATAGTCAAAAGTTGCCAACGATGGATAGAGTTATTAAAAGTAAGTGTCCCTTCGCACGATATATCTGAACTCCTTGTTTTTCCCAATTGATTTTTCTGGGTCGCCATTATTCTATTGATTAGGTGTAAAGCCTAATGTTTCAAACTTTCATATTGTTCTTCATTTTCTGCGACTCTTCGATCGTAGCATATGGGCAGAAAATTCTCAGTTATTTTAATAATGAGCCAGAATTTCAGTCATAGCCTCGTAACCCGCAGATTCCTTACATTTCTGTTTTTAACCAGTAATGCATGAACAGCTGATGTTATATACCTTTGATTTTGGTTATCTCCTTCCAAAGCCTGATCCTTTGGACCATGACTCCCTAAGTCCCTACTAGCACAGTTTGCTGTAATCATTATTTGATTCTCATGCCATATTTCTATCTCATTTGGATGTGTCATCCAAAAGTGTGTAGCTAATTCTAACCAATTTGTTGTGTCACACTTACCGTGAATCGATAATCTTCCGGTCACTAAAACTAATTTGATCTTTCAAATTTCTGATTAAGGCTACTGTTTGCTCCCTTAAATGTGACACAGTCCACAGTCTTAGTCAATTATTTATCTCTCATTTGTCACTGAAAGGAGAGGTAGATGCCTACAACTGAGGAAAAAGTAGAAGAAACAAACGTCACATTGTAGCATGCTACCATGCAACACACATTTTGTGAAAACTATTGAGCCAACTGATGATTGATGCATTCAGGTTGTTGCGACATTTGTCTCATCGCTGAACACTCTCTCAGTGGATTGCCGTTCAATACGATGCAAAGAAAGATGGTCTCTTCACTCTCTTCTTTTCCCTTCCCAGTTCCAAGCATTAACGGTGTTCAGCTTATCACCACAATAAGGATGGGTTCAGAAGTCTTATCCTCTAGCCCTACACCTGCAGAACACTAGTTTTATGTAGTGAATCTCAATGTTTTGCAATTTTTGATGGATACATGGAGTTGCAATGGTTTTTCTCAAGTGGAGGTTTAAAACTGTCATGCTTAGGATCTCCGACTTCCCTAAGCACAGATGTAAGAGAGCTAAATGGGTAATCCCAAAATCAATTATGATGTACAGGCCACAATCAAGGGGTGCGAGTCCTCTGAATGGGCTTACACAATTATACATTGGCTCTCTCATTCTTTATCAAGTTAAAAGAGGAAGGTCAATTTAAGGGTTAGTGACCTTAATTTTCGATCTGGATGTTGCAATATTTCAGTTCTAATGAACATACTTAATATTAGAGCGGAAGCATCATATGTAGAGACTAATGTCAAACTCTGGTTACCGCAGAATCAGCACCACTCAACAGGTTAACTCATGCAGTCAAATGACAGATGCGTTCTCTGGAAGCATCAGAGGAAATACGTTGCTGATTTTTCATGAATTGCCCGATGAATAACTTTCGTCATGTGACTGTCATGGCGGCTCAGGTTTTGTTTTTGTTTACTTCAGGAGCGTGTTATGGTTTACATCATTTTAGGTATTGTTCTCGGAGATAATCAACCCTGAGGGTTACTCGGTCAAATTGAAAAAGAATCTACATTTTATTTAAATTAAAAGGCGAGTTACGAGACACGATAAATGATGGCGGGATTGCGGGAATGCGAATACTTAAGACATTGAGGTTATCTCAACGCTCAGTGGCCTTGCCCATCACCTTTGAAAGGTGCTGGGCGATTGCGTTGGCCGATGGCCCGCCATGACAGTCATCAGGCAATTAGCGAGAAGTCAGCAAATCTTCAAGAACGATCGTCAAACTCTCAACGGTACTCATCGGGTAAGCAACAGTTGACCTGATGCCTCCAGAGAACGCATCTGACACCACTAATGAGTGGTGACCTGAACCATACTTGACTTATGTCTCAACATACAATGCCTCTATGAGCATAGAGGTGTCGTCAGCTAAGTTGACGGTTGTTTACTTTCAGTTTGCAAGCGCCAACGACGAATATGGGCCTCTGAACAAGTGGCCTTTGCTACTATCCACATTGAAAACATCAGTCTCATGATCTTATCTTAAAAAAACTACTTCTCAGTTTTGATTTGCAACTTTTTTGTGGTTGTGATCTCTGTGTGGCTAAAAATTAAAGTGTTACAGGGTTTGAAAGTATCAAAAAACTTATCTATGCTTGTGTTCTTGCTTCTGAGAGAGTCTGATGTTTTCATGTGGATAGTAGTGACGTGAAAACGCCTGCAAACCGAAACGTCAACTTAGCTGATGACACCTCTAAGCAGATTTTTATAATCTCCATATGTATCTTTGTCATGAAACATCAAAGAACATTTCATATTGGTAGTAATACCCTCCTAACTTTCACGTTGAAAGAACAAGAAGAGAGGTATGTAGGAAATCAAACCTTTGAACTTTATGCAAAGTGTTGGCTTCAGCACACAACATTTTCCTTCAACAACCGAGGAAAACAGTTTTGTACACATCAAAGTCTCAACTGTCATGGGTTAAAGACTTACCTAATTAGATTTCCTTGTCAGCAGGCCAGTGCCCAGGACTGCTGTCACTGAAATTAAATTTTGGAATGTGGGTCACATGAAGGCCTTGATACTCCGGCTTGTATTTTGAAAGAATTGAACTTCGACAAGGCTGTGAAGTATTTAAAAAAATCACTCTTATCCTACTATTTTGCTTTTTTACATCTTACAGATATTCTAAGTTTCCCTCACAGAGAGATACACCCTGTCCGCCCATCTTAGATTTTCTTAGGAAGTGAACAACTTAAATACAGAATTTGAAGCAGTAATTTACAAACCCTTAATTTCTGCCTATGCTAACTATTTTTAGATCAAACCTCAGAAAAGTACTAAAAATATGGTTCGAGATTGAATTGTTGTCACATGCAGGACAGTATAATGGTCATTCACACCGACAAAGTGGACACTTACCTACCCCGATCATAAAATTGTACCTCGGTCACATTTACAATTAAATTATTAGGAATTGATTGGCACCAATCTCTGTTGAATAATGACGCAAGGATTAGTCCATTTACCCCTATTTTGTTTCTTTTTCATAACATTCATCATAACAATATGAGAAGCATTTCTCTTTTAGCTCTCTCTGTTCTCAAAATGTTGACGTCAAGATCATCCTTCTGTGAACAACCTTTGATTTGTTTTGAAATTGATTTTGGCCCCGAAAGCTTTTTATTAATTTAAGGATTCTGAGATCCTAATTTCATACTTTTTAACGTTCTTCTCAAAAATGAAAGGTACAGCAAAAATACAAACGGTACACCCTTACGGAGGATGACTAAAGGTCGAAAAACACTCAAAAGATCTATCTTAAACATAAGGAAAGGCCGCAAAAGGTGACATCCCGGACAATTTTCACATCTTCGGAATCCAGATTCAACTATGGTTTTTTAATATGTTATATAGATGGGTAAGATCTGTTACGTACGTCAATATGAAAGTTGCGCCCCACTTTCTTAAACCATGGCGTGGCGATTTATCCAATTTTTCCTAAATCTGGCTCTTTGATACGATTTTTCTAGAAAATTTGGCAACGGAGGAAAAAGTTATACATGAAAGTTTATTTTTTTCTAACTCTCTTCCCCTCAACGCACACAGTTTTCAGTTTAAATTAAGTTTTACAGTAGAATTGTGAGTAAAATTGAAGAAAAAAAACGTTAATACGCGCCAACCATGGCAACAATGGACCGCAAGGCTCCTAAAAATTCATCAGAGGTCTTTTTAAGGGCCAAAAATGAAAAGTACGAAAAAAAATACATAGGATTGACCTCAAGAAGCTTACGGGAGGGAGTGTGCAGCCGACTCCGAGCGGCGAGTGGCGCGGCGCCCGGATTCCAGTCGGCGCGCGCGGAGAATAAACTTAGATTGCTCATATCTCCGCTACCAATCGCTTCCCTGGGAGCTATAATATATCAAAAGAAATGGAAAAGTACGAATAATTTAATGAACAGTTTTTTGTTCGAATCGAGAATCCTGCATTTGACGATGTGTTAGGGCTGAAAAAAAATTGACCCTTTAGAAAGTGTGAAAAATGGCATCATTGCAATCTTAAAGTACCTGAACGATCAAATTGAATACATATTTTAAAAGAACGCAATTTTAGGAGAATTTCAACGCAAACTGCTTTTCAATATCTCTTTTCGTTCAAAAGATATTTTTTTTTTTTTTGCCGAATTCAAATAGCCTATTGGCTAATCCCACGCTTATTACCCCAGCCCCAGGTGACCATTGCCTGAGACCATCAAACTCGGATCACCTGGCCGGGAATCGAACCCGGGACCTCTTGGTCATAGGGCCAGCGCTACAACCACTACACCACAGGAGGCCGACGGAACTATGGAACTCGACGGTTTTCAACTTGGCAACGCTGCTACGCGGAAAGAAATTCATTTCAGGCTTTGAAACTTTGGGGAAAGGCGTATCCTATAATGAAGAATAACATACTGAAAATTCGTCAAAATCCATGAGGGGGGAATTGTCGATTTTGCACACACTCCGCTGTATTATCACGCAAAGTGTTCAGCACACATGACCCTTGATTCTCCAACTTATTACAGATGCCGATTTTCATTTGGGAACCCTGGCAGGCAAAATTTACCGTCTCTGAGAATGCTGACGTGCATTCGTGCATCGACTATTTTTAATTCAATTCGATCTCTAATCGATCACTGAATTTTCGATTATCTCACAATTCAACGAATGGAATAATAAAATCGATAAACGATAATCATAGAACACGGCTGAAACGGTATAATGACAAATTGCTCCGGAAAACCGCCAACGTAGATTTTAAAGGGTCGAATACAATTTGATCATCGTTTCTCGGCATCATGTCTTTAATCCAGTGTCGCCATGTTTCATTTAGCTATTAGTCGGATAGTTGTCGTTTCATTTAGAAGCATCGCTCTTTTTTGACCACCGTTGTCAGATCATAACTCATAACCGTTGTCTCTCAAACTTGTACACAGCAATGTAAGATTTAGGGTGGTGGGGCTCCGGGGCAAACCTGTGTGCCCC